GACAGTCCTCAAACTCACCAAAGTCCACTCAGATCCTTGGTCTCCATTTTGAACAATATGGTCACTTGATTTTCACTCCAGCCTGCAGATTCAGTTTCTTTTCTCTTCAAGAAAGGTTTCCCAGGTCATCTGTCACCCACATCCACTGACAGCTTTTCCTGCCTTGAGAAGTGTTAATAAAGCTAGTGACATGCCCCCCCCTCCCCGCCCCCCGGGAAAGAAGGCTTCATCTGGAAAGAGGCACAAACCATTTCCATGTCTGGGATTCTCCTTGGAAGGTGCAAGCTGATTAGGAAAGCCTGTTGCTCAGTCTGCCTTCGAGGGAGACCACTGGCTCGGGGCTCGGGCTCAGCCCTCTCACCACCATGGAATGAAGGCCTCATCCTCTTCCAACCTTCAGAAGAGGATGGGCAGGCCCACGGGGCACTGTGGAGCCTCCCAACAGGTCAGAGCTCCCATGGGAAGTTCCCCAATGTCCAGCCTCAGTGATCTTCCTCAGAGAAGATCTTCAGAGATCTTCCTCCAGCTCGACCCTCGGATCTGCACAATTAGCCTCTCATTACATCCCGCCCTGCTCGCCGCTGTCGGTCCTGGACCATTGGATCAGCCTAAGTGCTACAAAATGCTGTCTCGTTCCCTGTCTCCCCCAGCTAAATGGGGCAGGGAAGTGGTCTGACTGTTCTGCTGTGTCTCCTGGCATCACTCAGCACTGCACTGGACAATTCTGTGAATTCTGTTTGCTTTGGTGATTGACCACCTGGAAGTATAATTCCCCCAATGCTGGGTCTCTGTTTTCAAGCTGCCATTTCTCTGTTTCGGTCATTAGATACATCATTTGTCAAAACATTAACTGTACGAGCGGAGTGGAGTTGGTCTCCCTCTTCAGGTCCCCCAACCCACCACTTCTTTTTAAAAGTTGAAATCAACCACCGGGACCCCATCAATGTATTACATACCCTCTGACCTGGTTCCCACCCCTGGCTGGACGGTGGGGTGGCTTGGGTTCTGTTTTCAGCTTGGCTGAGCCCATCAGCCCCCTTCCCCACCTCCCCCTCTGCTGGGTGCCTTTCCTGTCCTTGGCCCCAGTGGCTGGCAGCTGGTTTGGGGGGACCGGAGGAGAGAATGCGGCATGCTGAGTGTGACAATAGGGGGGGCTTTGTCCGGGGCTGGGGGGTGGGGCACGGTGCGCCTCCGCTGACCTTGGAACTGAGCGTCTGGGGACGACCGAGGGGGAGGCTGTTTCCTTCCCTCTCCGGGGCTGCAGGTTTTTAATGTCTTCTTTGTTGGTTTGGGCCCCCGGAGACCGAACTGAAGGGAGAGATTCGGGGCTGCTCCCTCCCTCCCGGACAAAATGGTGCACGCTTTTCCTGTTTAAACAGGGCACAGTTGTGAAGTGCCCTGACTTCGCACACACCGAGGCCCGGCAACGGCTGCAATAAATCAATAGGAAAATAGAAGCTGCCAGTTAGACTAAACAGTGCATTTGCAAAGACGGCTAGCCCTCATTAATCACTCTGACAGTCCTAAAAACACATTTCCCCTTTAATGACTGTATTTGGATAATCAGTGCTTTTTCCTCCTCAGTCAGAGTTTGAGTAACAGACAGCTGGTGTTATTACAGCCATTGGGGAGGGAGTGCTGGGATTAGGGTCGAGGGAGAGCCACCACTGGAGGTCTCCGCAAAGGGGCTTGGCTGCAGGCTGTTGTTATGCAATCATGAGGGTTTGTGGTGTTATTGATGGCTCCCGGGCAGCCATGTGCAAGTCCCCCCCCCCCAACCTGCGTTATATGAACACAAAACCCTCACGTGGGGTTTTCTGTGCGTTGGCAGGTTTCACCTGGGTGGGGAGGCCAGCGTTTCTCTGGCAGCGAGGTAAGGAGCTGGGTCGCTGTGATTTGGCTTTGTTTCCGCGAGGTGACTTTGGCTTTCGGGAGAAAGTTTGCAACCCAGCACATCCCTCTTTATAAATGATGTAACACATTAATGCGCAGCGCATTATGAAAATGGTAATTCAAACCCATAGTGCTCCAAATTAAACCATACATTATCGGATGCGCCCTGCCATCTATTTTGCAAAAAGACAGGATGAATGAAATCAAATCAAATAGAAAACTGGAGTGCAGCTTCCTCTACAGAATGATGAATAAAGTACGGAGCCATGGTATTATTGGAAGACGGATTCTGCGGAAACCGAGATGTACTTCAGAAAGGAGTGAGCCCAGATGTTGAGAGGCATCCCAGGATGCCGGGTAGGCCAAGGCAATTGTGGCCCCATAAAAATGGTGACAGGCCCCACACCTCCCACCTGGGCTATGGATTCTCAAGAGATGGGTTTAGGGGGATGACTGGGAAGTTAAAACGTTACCCTGAAATTCTGTGTCAGATCTAGATCTGAGGGTGAGACCTTCCCCTCCTTCTCCTCCTTTCCTCCCACTGCTGCCCACAAGGCCACAAAAATAACCAGGCAAGAGGTGTGAAAATATGAGCTAGAGCCAGGAACGCCCAGGGTCTCAAGTTCCAGAGCTGGGGCTGCCACCCTTCCTGGTGTCTTGGGAACAACAAGCCCCATTTCTGGCGCTGGGGAGAGATTAGGAGAAAGGGGGCTCGGAGGGTGAGGAAGGAAAGGAGATGGAGCAATCGAAGGTAGAGGTGATTCTCCAAGAAGAGTTGCTGGATGAATTAATTATGCAAATAAGCAGCTGGTGGGGAGTACTGATCTCTTTGAAAATCACCACGGAGTTTAAGGAGAAGATGGCTCCTGAAAGTAACAAAACTCCCCACTAGCTAATGAAAACGGCCACCTGTCTTAGGATCGTCTCCCATTTATGGTGGGAGAACTGACATCTGAGGGTGAGAACTGGGCCATTCCAGTCTACAATGCCTGCTCTGGGTGTCACAGTGGTAGCTAGGGACAGCTTTTTCCAATCAGGCCAATGGCATCCTTCTCCATATGCAAAGGCTGATAATGCATTTTCTGGGGGCAATTCAATCATGGGAGGTTTCTCACACCTCACTTGTAAGCCAAGCACCTAGAGAGAAGTTTCTTTTGCTCTATGGAGAGTTTGCTGTTGGAGATAGTCTCTTCCTCTCTCCTGTCCTTACAGGGGAACCCTGTGGTCCTTAGGTCAGGAGGTCTGAAGAGCACAGTTTAAGAAAAAGAAAAGTTTAAGACGTCCCCCTGCAGAGGGAGCAATTTCCGGCAGGTTTAGCAGGGATTAGAAAAACACAAATAAACAAACCAACCAAAAAAGGTATCTGAAGGAAAGAGGGGGATTTGCGAGGGAGGGAGGATCGGAAAGGAAATAACCAAGAGCAAGCAAAACAGCAGAGAAAAAGACAAAATAAAGCAAGTCACTACACTTCAGGTCTTTCAAAGCTTCGGGCCAATTTGAACTGACAAGTGGGATAAGGATGATTCCCCAGGAAGGGCCTGAGCTGCTCTCACTGGGACCTTTCCAGCCCATTCAGCCTCTCCCTGACTCCCCGCCCCACCCCATGCGCAATGATGCCAGCAGCCCAAGTCCCCTCTCCTGGGACACACATAGACTCACTCCAAAACTGCCATTTTCTGCAGAAAACAGGTTCTCCTGACTAGGGAAGGGATTTTGCCCAGAAACAAGGATATACGGGCAAACTCCCAGCCCAAACCAAGACCCTCAAAAAACATACTATGCTGAGGTTTTGTCAAAACCCGCGACGCCGCCGGATGAGGCTGAGACGCACTCTGTGACTCTCTAAAGGAGTTTGGGGCCTACTTGGGGCTGAAATAGCTTGGGCAGAGAGAGCACCCCTCCAGCCCTCTTCCACCCTTGGCCTCTGGTCTACTGACGTTTCAGAAGCACAGTGTTTGTGGAGCAGGAACTGCCCCAAAGTCGCATTCTTCACAGAGAAAGCAAAGCAAACCAACACGAAGAGCAACAGCAGCTCCCAGAGCTGGTCGGCCAGGAGGGGGCGAGGAAGGTCACCTTGCCGTGCGCCCAACAGGTGCCGTGCACCTTGGCCCGCAGCGCCGTGAGCCGCGGGCGCCCGGCATCCGGCAGCAGGAACCTGAGCGAGGCCGGCCTCGGAGGCGGGCAGAGGGACGCCTCCACCCAGGGGTTGGGGTGGGACGCGAGTTAGCATCGGGATGGTTGCCCAGGCCCCGGGCACCCAGCGTCTTCTCCTCCGGGCCCCAGAGACTTCCCGCGCAGTGGGGAGGTGCCCTGGCCCTCTAGCACCATCTTGCCAAATGGCAACCCCACCCTCGCCTGCCCGTTTCCAGAAGCCGGTGTCAATCGTGCGAGCTCAAGAAAACAGGGACTGAGGGTGGCTTCCAGGTTCCAAGCAATGGCTGCGCCTTCTTGGCAAAACCCAAAGCTGATGCGGATAAGTCTCTGCGGGTGCAGATGACCGGGGTCCACAATCCAGTGCTGGCCTTGGGGGAGCCCCCAAGCCTTGCGAAGCACCTTTCTCAGCAGGTGCCTGCACCGTTTGGTTTCAAGGTGTGTAGAAGGCACTGTCAGGGCAAGGAAATCCTCCGTATTTGGAGTACGAAGCGTGGAAGGTGTTGTCGGGGGCTGGCGCCAGTCTCTCGCCTTTCTGCCACCAGGTGGCGCCCGAGGCACATCGTCCTTCCTCGCCCGCAGGGCTCCGGGACGGTGCTGCCAAGAATGTTCTGAGCCCTGGGTCCTGGTTCTCTTCTCAGCCCCTTGCACCTCGAATCTAGGCCCAGAGGAAAATCCACATTTACACTCTCCCTCCACCCTGTCCCCAGGAAATGTCAAGGCCTTTGAAGTGAGGCTGGGAGCTAAATAACCAAGTTGAGGGGAAAAAAGGGCAGTTTTATGTTATTTGTAACGCGTTGGCAGAAGTTTTGTTTTCATCTCTCCCCTTTTTTAAACTCGTCCTTGAATGGCAATCTGAGGAGACCATCAGGTATTTTAAACAAGAGTAAAAGAAGGGCGTCTGCTTATGTGTCTGGAAGGACGGTGGCTGAGCAAGAGAGAAACACACCACGGTGTGAATATAGCCAAGTATTCCATTTATTAACAAAATAAGTCTTACCAAGGGAGAGCTCTATTCATCCCAAACAGACCCCGCGGCCCCCGCTCGGCTGCATAAGACCAGGAGGGAGGGAGGGTGTGAGGAGAAGACCCAGGGGCTGAAGTCTTCAATCCTAGTAACTGAGGAAGCCCACGGCCAACTTTGGGGGTTCTGTTGGGTCAGGCCTGGGAGGGGGCGACGGGGACTGCTGCATTCCGTGTGCTCCCTGACTCTCCCACCTTCCCCCAAAAGCGCTAACATGGGTGTGTTGCCAGCTGATACTACCACTGGTCTGCTTTGGAAGGATCTAGCAAGAATCACACACCAAGCCCCTACCGCCAAGACAGGGACCACTGCCCCAGTGACCGAGCAAAAAACAATGGCTATAAAAGCACTTCGCAAACTATACGAGCAAAGTTTCATGCCAGCAGGGCCTTCTAGGACTTTTACTTGAGTAAGATGAGCCCTGCAGGTCCCCCACCAGCAGGCAGTGTGACCACCGGGGTGTCTGGGGCCTGGAAGAAGAGTAGCTCTGTTGGAGGCCTCTCGGGCCATTGACTCCTGCTCAGAGCAAGACAGGGGAGCAAGACTCTAATTTTGAGGGCCAGGGTGAAGACCAAGGACCCTGGGCGGAGAGGGTGGCAAGGGAGGAGTCACAGAGCAGAGTTCCAGGTTAATAAAAGCACAAGACCTCCAGCTCCCAAGGCCACTCCCTGCACCCCCAAATGAGTTACCGAAAAAAAAAATCCTCCTCTCTGTTACTTGTACAAAAGAAAAAAAAAACAACAGAACCTCAAATGGACGGAAACAAGAAGGAATGAAGGGGAAAGAGGGGGTAAAAGAGATGGAAGAAATGTAGTTTGAACAGTTAAGAAGCATGCAAGAAAATCTCCAGGAAGGGCAAACAAAACAAAAAGAACCCGAACTCTCCCTCCTCCCCCTAAAAACCAAACCAATCAAAAAAGAAAAAAAAAGCCAAAGGAAAAAGATTTAAAACTTACATCTAAGAAAAAGAGTCAAGAAAGGAAGAGGGGGTGGGACATGTAGTTACTTGCGTGATTAATATTATTATTTGGGGGAGGGGGGACGGACTTTTTGCATACCATTGACTCGTGTGGGCCGTTAATGCACTTATATTCCCAGCTTGTAAGCTAACATTATAGTAAATAAATACACAGTCCGGTGGGGAGGGTCTGGGCGGGGATCCGGCAGGGCTAAGCGGTAGTGGAGGCAGCAGCGGAGGCGGGTGGGGGTGCGGGGAGAAGAGGAGGGTCGGGGTGGGAGGAAGGGCTGTAGTTACTGGTATCCGAGCGCGGAGGCTGAGGCCAGTCTCTGTCCGTACAGCGCGTATGGTGAGTAGTAGGGTCCGGCTGTGGGGAGGGACGGCACGGCCAGGCCCCCGGCCGTGGATAAGTGGCTCTTGCCATAGGGGTGGTACCGGCTTAGCCCCAAAGTGTGTGGACTCCGCAATGACAGCGACCCGGGGCTGCCCGGGGCGGTGGGCGGGGGGAGGTGCAGATGGCAGGAGGCGGCGGCCGCGGCG